CGACCGACACCCCGAACAGCGACGGCGACAGCATTGCCACACCTCTCCAGCAAGCCATGAAGCGTGCGTGTGTTTGGCTGTGAAGCGCGACTCAGTTGTTGCTGGCTCCTCCTTCGTTGTTTGTTTGCGGAAAATTGGCACAGGCATTCATAATGCTCGAGGGACAAGTGGAATGAGGAGGCACAAACAAAAGGGGCAAAGAAAGGGCAACACACACACACACACACACACACACACACACACACACACACACACACACACACACACACACACACACACACGCGTGTGAGCTTGTGCTGGGCTAATGGTCGCCAACGAGGGCAAGGAGGATCTTGCGATAGTTGCCGCCCGTGTCAGACTGTGCAAACGCACACAAACACGGATGAATATGTGAGCGAGGACGGTGTGTGTGCGCAGAATAACATTGAACCAAACATATTCCTCAATACACACACACATAAACACGCGCGCAACACGACAACAGTAGGAAGCATGCGCCTGCCGTCTGTACCTTGATCCACGACTCCATGGTCTTGCCGTACTTGCGCTGGAAGGCCTGCTTGATCTCAACCATATCAACCTGTGCGCACAAAGGTGGGGACGGTGCGAGTTAGCTTCGTGCGTGCGTGTGTGCGTGTTGTTGTGGACTGTGCGTGTGTGTGTCGGTTTGCGTGTGTTCATGTGTGTGTCGGTCTGTCTGTGTGTACGCGTGTTGTTGTGTGCTTTGTGTCTGTGTATGTGTGCGTGCATTTCAGTTCTGTGTGGGCACACTGATTCTTCTCACCTCGCAGCGCGAAACAACACAGCGCGTGAGGGTCCGTTCGTCCGTACCCAGGCCCTGTCAGATACCATGAAGGCACCAGCAACGGTGACCAAGGTTGGTGTGTGTGTTGTGTTGTGTATGTGTGTGTGTGTGTATAAAACGCATATTCCAGCCACGCACGACACCAACAACTACGCTGTGTGACATGCCCTGACACAAACATGCTTGCACCCATTCACACATACACCCACGCCCACACCTTCATGCTGCGGTAGATGCGCTCGGCAAAGTACTCCGGTTTGCTCAGCACACACTTGGCTGCATGGTGGTGATGGCGGCGGTTGTGGTTGTGGGGCGAAGCGGTCAACGCAAGTGCGTGTGGACCACGAAACACATGTTGACATGCAGCGTCCCAACACACACGGGGGAATCGCACGCACGCACAGGCACACACACACACACATACGCACACACACACACACATACACACACACACACATACACATGGTTCGTGCGTGCAGGTGTGTGCGGGGTCTCACCGATAGCGACCATTCCGTTGCGAAGATCGCCGCTCATCTCGCGCTTGATTGATTTCACAATGTCGTACTTGCAAATCTGAAAACGCATTCACAAACAAACGCACCAAAAAGCCGCACATGTGTCAGCACCAGTGTGATATACCCGAACACACACACACACACGCACACACACACACACACACACACACAAGATTGAACATGCATGCACGTGCGCGTGCTTGCAGGCACACCTTTGAGTACTCCTTGAAGGTGAGGCGAAGCTGGGGAAAGCTGCGTGCGCACAGAATGTGGTTGAACGTGGATTCATCGGTTCCCCACCGCGCCTCGCCTGCAACAATCAATGATAGTGATGAAATAACAAGAAAGTGAACACGCACGGCCTGTGTGTGTGTGTGTGCGTGCGTACGTGGGTGTGTGTGTGTGTGTGTGTGTGTCTGTCTTGACTCAAGGGAATGCAGGCAAGGGTGTCGTATTACCAGCAGAGTAGAGCTTCTTCGCATCCTCGCGGGCCATTGCTTCGTCCACAGGCGTGCTGTTGTCATCGCAAGAGATGAAACACAGCGACATGACGCCAGCCATCAGCGTACCACAACCCATCACACACACACACACACACCACACACACACACGCACACACACGCATGCACACACATACACACACACACACAAACGCAAGTGACAGCGATATGCACAACAACAGATATACATGTGCACGTATACGCGGGCTGCCATCACAGGTAGGCACCTGTTTGGTGGGCGGTTTGCTTGCAGGAGAGCAACAAGCAAGCGTTTGAAATGTCCGCTCGTTTCGGAAATAATGTCCTTCTCGAGATCGCGCTGGTACTCCTGGCGGTAGGCGGACACAATCTAACACACGCGCACATGCACACGCCGTTGTTGAAAGCGGTTTGGTGGGCAGGGATGGGGGGGGGGGTGAATTGGTCCACACTCTCGCTGCGCACTACAAGGCCTCCGCGATTGCACAGATGCTCAGACACACACACACACACACACACAGTTATGCTGACACACTCACACACGCTCTCTTTGTTACACATGCATGTACACCCTGTATCAATACACATAAACCACCGCCATCTAACCAAACCCCCCACCCCCCATGCAGCGTCCGGTGTTGGCACTCGCACCTCCTTGATGTCGTCACGGTCGCGCGTGACGAGAATTTCAATCAGGCAGCGCTCATCCGTTCCAAGACCTGCACCAACCAGTCGCAACACCACCAGGCAGCACAGCACGCACGCGCACGCGTTAGCACTGAATTGGAATACAACAATAGGCAGGCATCACACATGGCGAAGCACTGAGAACTAAGCACCCAAAGTAGCCACTCCCTCGCACACCACTGCATGCCGCGTGCTGCGTACAACACCACCTTGCATGGCCTTCCTAAGCCAGTGCGCATCGCGAACGGGCGTGTCACGCATCAGCGCCATCACCGCTTCCCGGAAATCCCCGCCAATCTCGCTGTGCAGCTGTGCGTTTGTGTGTTTGTGCGTTTGTGTGTATGTGCATGTGTGTGTGTACGTCAGTACATGTGTGCACAGGTCAAACTAAAGGAGGTTGTAAACAAGGTGTGTGTGTGTGTGTGTGTGTGTGTGTGTGTGTGTGTGTGTGTGTGTGCGAAATGCGTACGACGCGACATGTGCGAGTCTCAACAAATGAAGCAAACGTCCGCAGGACACAAGAAAGACGATTTCTCTTGGGGGGGGGCGGGCGTACCATCTTCTCCAGGTCCTTGCCGTACATGGTCTTGAACTTGAGCTTGATTTCCTGTCGCTGACGCGTGCTCCGGTACGCAACCACCTGCAGTGATGTGACAACACGTCGCACATGCAGCACGACACGACAATTGGGAGGGGGCGGCGTTCGAGGGAACAGACACAGAGAACATCCACAGCACACAAAACACACACAAACACACACAACATAGCACCGCAGCTCGGCATGCACACACGCACGCACACACGCACACACACATACACGCACACACACGCACACAAACATACACGCACACACACGCACACAACGCACGCACATACACACACACAACGCACATTAATGACGGTGCCCTTGTCGCAGCCGAGGCCTTTCATGGCCTTGCGCAGGGCGGCGGAATCCGCTTCCGGATCAAACGCAGACGAAGGGCGACACGTGCCTGTGGAGGGTTACAGACCACACAACAACAGAACGAGTGCGCGCGCACACATGCAAACATGCCGTGACAAACAACACAGTGTGAGATCCACAAGTCAGAGGAATGCAAGACAGGTTCCCGGTTTCCTTACACGCACACACACATAACACAAACACAAACACAAACACTAACACTAACATACAAACACAAACACAAACACAAACACAAACACGCACACACACATAACACAAACACAAACACAAACACTAACACTAACATACAAACACAAACACAAACACAAACACAAACATACACGTGCGCACGTGCACACACACGCACATGCACGCACACACGTTAGCACGCATGTTACCGTGTGTTTGCGGCTCCTCGATGGCCAGGGTGGACATGGAGAGCGTCAAGTCGTCCTCATCATCGGTTGTCGACAGCGTTGACTGACGCCTCCCTGGCGCCTGTGCTGATGCTGGTGGCGCAGGGGCTTGGCCAGGCGGCTTGGGCGCAGAGCCCCCGTACACGCTCCCGGTGTGCGAAGGTGGAGGTGGCGCAACGTGCTGTGGCTGATACTGTGGCTGGCCCGGTGGTGGCGGCTGCTGCTGGTATTGCTGCTGCTGCTGCTGCGGGTATGGCTGCTGTGGCTGGTGCTGCGGCTGGGGCGGAGGCGGAGCGTAGCCATGGTGAGGCTGTGGCGGCGGTGCTTGGCTGTACGGCTGAGAGTGAGCCGGTGGCGGTGGCGCGTGGCCATACGGTGCAGGCTGCTGGTGCTGCTGCTGCTGCGGAGGTGGAGGCGCTGGGTACCCAGGCTGCTGCTGGTGTTGCTGCGGATAGCCGTAAGGTTGCTGCTGCTGAGGTGGAGGAGGTGCACCGTAGGGTGGCTGGTGTTGCTGCGGCGGGGGTGGTGCACCGTACGGTGGTTGCTGCTGCTGTGGATAGCCGTAAGGCGGTTGCTGCTGTTGCTGGGGTGGTGGAGGTGCACCGTATGGCGGTTGGTGTGGGTGTTGCTGAGGCGGAGGTGGCGCGCCGTAAGGGTAACCGGGCTGCTGCTGTTGGCCTGGTGGCGGAGGTGCCGGGTGCCCTGGTTGAGGGTACCCCGGGTAGGGCGGCTGCTGTCCTGGGTAGCCTATCCAATACACACACGCGCACGAAGAGCAGTGACAAGCACCATGCACACACACACACACACACGGACACAGGTATGAAGCGGTGTCAATTTCATTGCAAAAACACACACACACACACAAGTGAGACGTATAGTGAACACTGTCACCAATGTAACAACCAACAGGCCCAATTGATCGACAAGCAAGCACAGAGGACAAGCAGCAGCCAAGCACCACCCAGACTTGCCACCACCACATCCCCCATCTCCCATCAGCACACCACACCCACCATGATACGACATCGTTGTTGTTGGCTTCTTGGGGTTTTGTGGGGTTTTGTGGATGGTTGGAAATTTATGTATGTCACAGCCAATCGCCAACCTCCCAGGAGGCACAGCGAAGAAGAACAGGAAGGAGCGAAAGGACTTTGTGGCGGGTCACGTGCCCTGCGTGCCAGCGTCGAATAAGCCAACAACCCTCTGACATGCACTTAGTGCAGAGCCACTGTTTCCTCTTCCGCTTGTGCTTTATTTGCTCAATCGTTTGCTCATTCGTTCGTTCAATCGCTTAGGAGCACTTACAAAGCAGGCACACATGGCACACAAGGCACAGCTAAAGAACCAATGTAAGTAAAGCAAGGCAAATTAGGATGACTATGGTGGATCCTCTCGGATCAAGAAAGCAAACTCGACCACGCAACATCACAAATCAGACCCTCACAAGCAACACGCACACGCACACACACACACACACACACACACACACACACACACACACACACACACACACACACACACACACACACACACACACACGAACACCGCTCATGACGCCGCTCACTCAAAAGCATGGCTAACACTCCGCTCCTGCTTGCTCTTTCTCCCCTGCTCTTCTGCGTGAAGGCACAAGAGGCATGTCCCGCAAACTCTCGCCAAACATATATCTGGAAGGAGTCATGGCTGGAACCAGCCCAGCCATGCCATGCGTCACCCGCTCAAACACAAACGCCTCCTCATCCTCCCCATGGACATTGTCTGTGTTGCGTTGCTCTCCCCTTTGCCATCTTCGAGCGCGCTTGGCGTCGTCGCATTGTTGCGCATCATCATCGCCATGTGTCTCTGACTCCACAACCGATTCCTCATCGTCAGTGTTGTCGTCGCCCCCACCACGCTGGCACGTGCCAGCTGTACGGACGTCACTTCGCTGCACGCGCCACAGCTGCCGCATGCCGCTGTTACCGCTTCCGCTGCGACACTCGGCAACAGCGTTGAGGTTCATCACATCCCCCATCTCCTCCCCTTCTTCCTCACCTTCCTCCACTTCTTCCACCCATTCTTCTTCTTCTTCCTCCTCCTCCTCCTCCTCTTCCTCGTACCGCTCTTGAATGCCATGGAGCAGCCGGCCACTCCTGCACAAACTCTCTTGCTCCTCTTTCTCTTCGTCCTCCTCAAGATGACACGCATGCCAGGCACCACGTGCTTGCACCGGCACCGGCACCGCGTTGCACTGCACTTCCAGCTCCGCCTGTGCCCCGGTATCTCGTGTCGCTCGGCCGAGTGGCCGCAGCCGCGTGTACGTTGACAAACGCGAGTGAGGGCCCACTGATGGTGGTTCGCTTGAAGAAGGGTGCGTGCTTGCCCACGCAGCGAAGGAGCAGGCAGTTGGCGACATTGCCGTGGGCGGACGATGCGAGGACGAGGAGGTGCAGCGTCGTAGTGGCCGCAGCTCAATCCGCTCGTATGTAGCTCTGCCCCCATGATGTGTGACGTGTGGAGACGAGGAGGCAGCAGATGCCACGTCAGTAGTGGTCGGCAAATGCGGTGATGAAGAATACACAGATGACTCGTCCTGAACAGCAGACAGCGGCATGTCATCGATGGAAGTGCTCAGATGGTGCTGCACCCCTGGTCGCGTCATTTCGGCCGCTTGCGTCCCTGACAGATGTGCTTGTTGCCACAAGTGCGCCGTGTGAGGAGGCTGGTGTGTTCTCGTGCCTGCAGGCATGTCTGGTGTGTCTCTGTCCTCTTCATCGCAGGATGGAAGCAGCATATCAAGGCTCGTGGTGCTGTGGCCATGACCGTGATCGTACCCATGGCGTTGGTGAGAGCGTGCGTGACGGCTGGCATAGCCGTGCTGGAAGCGACCATCATCGCCATCACCATTAACAGTGCATGGCGATGAGGTGGAAGCCAACCCAATCGATGATGACGCGGACAGAGATGTACTTGAGAGCGACGGTACGGGGCGGAGCTTGGGCTCCCCACGGCACGGAACCAGGCACCCCAGCCGCGCCCAGCCGCACCCGTGCTGGTCAACGACAACACCATCGTCGTCGCCGCCGCCGCCATCGCCATGGCGTTGCCGGCGATGCCCTTGGTGCTGTGCCCGCTCCCGGTGTCGGCGGGCTGTGCTGGCTTGACTCGTGCCTCTTGCATGTCGTCCAGCACCAGTGCTGGTGCTGGTGCTGGTACTGATGACAGACAGGGCGGACTCTCGGCGTCTGGTGGATCCGCAACGCACGTGAGGAATGGCCGGAGCAGGCTTGTCACGCAGCACCACCACCAGCACAACGCACGCCGCCACCACAATGACCACGCACACTGCGCCCAGGGCCACGAAGACCATGAGGTGCGATCGCGCTGCTTCTCCTCCTTGGTCGCCGCTCTGGCCATTGTCGCCGCCACCGCCGCCACCGGCACCGCCGCCATCACCACCACTGCCGCTGCCGTCACCGGCGCCATCACCTCCGCCGCCACCACGCCCACCGGCAGTGGTGGTGATCACGGACGGTGACAGGGACGTTGGCCGCCCCACAATCATGCCACCGCTTCGGGGATCAACAACGGTGAAGGCGTCGAGGCTGAGCAAGCGAGCGGCTGCGTTGTCATCCTGCAAGTCCAAAAGCGCGGCAAAGACGGGCGCTTTCATCCACCGCACGCCAACAAAGCCGACGGCAAGCACAGGCGGTGTGCGCACGGCGGCTGCCAGCGCGGCCTCCACACGCTCACGCTCATGGTCGGAGGAGAAGTTGAGCATGGGCACAGTGACGGTGACGGTGACCAGGTGTGTCACGGGGGCGATGGAGCACAAGCGGTCGGAGGAGAAGGTGGGCGCGCGCACCTCGTAGGCTGGGGGTTTGCACGCAGTCATGTTTGCGCATTCACAGTCCGACGTTGGCGTGGGTGGCACAGCCATGTACTGCACATCCCAATCGCATGGCGTCACGTCACTGCACGTGCGGTCTGATGTCACGGTTGGGGCGCGCTCTTCAAATTGCATTTCGCCACAGGTGGTGACCGGCTGGCAGACAGTGTCCATAGCACCAGATGCTGCGCGCGCGCGGAAAAACGCGGGAAAGTCGCACTCGGTGATATTTGCACACTGCACATCGCTCGTGCTCGTCGGCTCCCCGGCTACGTACTCCTGCAGACATCAAACAGTGGTATTGGGAGTATGTCAGTGGGGTGGCAACCGTGTGCATGTGTGTCTGTGAGGGGCGTGTGCACATGCAAATGCAACTGCGTGTCTGTGCATGCCACCAAACATGCATCCATTTGTGTGCGTTTCATCGAGGATACCAACACAGAACACATCAACAGCCGTGAATCTGTCGAGACATCGGCAGCGCGCAAGCATGGGTCCACGTCCCGGACACGTACAGATGCTGTGCACTGAGAGTAAGGCGCGCAGACGATGTTTGATGTTGTGGTGGCTGGTGCCACCTGGTACGATGTGGCGGGGCAGTGCTGAACCGGTACGCACGTGCGGTCTGTTGTCGGGGTGGCCTCCACCAGCACATACGTGTCTCCAAGTGTTGGTGCACATGATCGTGTGTGCAGATGGTGAGATAGTGTGTGTGTGCAGATGGTGAGATAGTGTGTGTGTGTATGTGTGTGTGTGTGTGTGTGTGTGTGTGTGTGTGTGTGTGTAAAACAGGTCAAGAAGCAAACCCCCTCTTCCCTCTGCATGTTGAAGGGCACTCACAAGGACGGCAGTTGGTATGGGCGTCACACACGCGATCCGTCGTTGGCGTTGGCGCCTTCGTCTGCCCAGAATGTGTGTGAGAGTGAGAGAGAGTGAGTGAGTGAGAGTGAGTGTGAGTGTGTGAGAGAGTGAGAGAGAGTGTGTGTGTGTATACGAGAGGATGTGACTTGTGGTGAGAAAGTGTGGTCACAGAGAGGGTGTGCGCACTTGGCTCAACCACAAGCAGCAACAACGACAGTTGCCCCCGCCCCAACTACATGGAAGTCTGGCACGGCGCACCTCATATTGCCCAGGCGCACACTCAGTCAAGTGCTCGCAACGCGTGTCTGTTGTGGCGGTGGGCGCCTGAAGCATGTACTCGCCCGGGTGACACACGCGGGCGTAAACGCACTGGCGATCACATGTGGGCGTTGGCGGCGTCCATTCAAACTCTCCGCGCTGGTAGAGGAAAGGGGGGGGGGGGAGGAGGCAGAGAGAAGAAGGGAAGGGGATTCAAAGACAAGCAAGCAGACATATGGTGGTTACTCTAGCTCGAGCTCATGGTGAAGGTACTACACCGTACATACAATGTGCCCGTATGTCTCGAATCGACGCGCGAGCGAGCACTTGAGCAAACATCCTTGCAAACACAACGACACAAGCAGTACGCCTGCGGACACAAGGGTGCGCACACACCTGGCATGATCGAAAGGGCTTGCAAACACGATCTGAAGTGGCGGTGGGCCGCACAGCCTCGTATTCTTGACTACTGCACGTGCTGACATTTGAGCATGCGGCGCCCGCGTGAGCGGTAGCCAGCAACGCCACGTATTGGCTACAAGCACAAAATTCGCATGCATGCATGCATGCAAACAAACGTAGATTAGGTATGACGCGGTGAGCATTGGTTGGGAAGCGCTGTAGAATGAGCCGAATGCGCAGTGTGATCGTGCGTGTGTGGTTGGTTCAGGGAGAGAGTCGAGTGCGCATGCAAGAGCGCTCCACTGAGCCATGGTTTGTTGAACAGGACGAGTGCAACGTGTGTGAGTGTTCTGTGCACGGTGCAGCAGTGCCAACGCACCTGCCGCCGCAGGTGGTCATGTTGGAGCACAATCGGTCAGAGGTGAGCGTCGGCGAGCGCGCCTCATATTGGAGCGCGGAGCAGCGGGTGCAGCGCTGGCACACACGGTCGCTCGTCAGTGTGGGGGGTGTGACCTCATACTGCGCAAATGCACGAGTTCAGAGAGAAGTGGGGGAGGGTGAGGACTGGTTGTTAGTCGCTTCTGTGCAGCGTATCGCAAGTGGTCCGTCTGCCTCGGCACCATCAACAAACCACGCGTCATTCACACCTACACACACATATCTCCACACTCACACATTCACTCACACGCTAACACACTCACTGATGCTCACACTCTCTCACTCACACACACACACACACGCACACAAAACCTCACACACACACAAAACCTCACGCACCTCATCCAAGTGAAAGCTGCAAGTGGTCAGAGGCACGCAGTCTTGAGCCTGAATGTCGTAATACTGTGCACTTGTGCAGCCTGTTGCTGTGGTGTTTGTGGCTGCGCAAGCAAAGGCAAGCCACCCCAGATAAAGACATGACATGATATGATGTTGGCGATGAGTGCGTGGCAATTTGCAGGGGGTACCAATGATGAGCGCAAAGGACATGTGCTGTCTTGTGGGACATGTGACGGATCATCTCACCAGCGCAGACAGCATCGGATGTCAGGGTTGCGGCCGTGGCCTCCACTTCGCATCGAGACACCGCTGCACAGTTGTGTGATTTGTGTGAGTGTGTGTGTGTGTGTGTGTGTGTGTGTGTGTGTGTGTAAGTGAGGGAGAATGGGAGGATGGTGTGCGAGTGTCGAGGTGAGACAACACGATGAGCAAAAATAAACAAGGTCAAATCAGAAAGCAGATATTGAGCCAGAAAAGCAGAGACATGGCACATGAAGGTGTTAAAGGGCTTGTAAGAAGTATGGCGCGAAGCATGAAAGGATAAAACAACACGCACAACATACATTGACAGATGCGATCGCTGGTTGGCGTTGGCGGCTTGACTTGAAACGTCTGGCCGAGCACACACACTGTTGTGTTGTGACACACACGGTCTGCAGAGATGAATGGGTGGATGTGGGTAAGTGCAGGTGAAAACTGAGCATAACCAAACACAGAGAGAGAGAGAGAGTCACACACACACACACACACACACACACACACACACACACACACACACAAGAGCAAACATACAAAGGGCTGTGAGCAGCTCATGTATGCATGCATGCATGCAAGCAAACGCAAACGCAAACGCAAACGTACTGGGTTGTGTCTGTGTTCTGGCATGGACGTCCTCAAACTGGTGAGGATGACACGGTGGGAGATGGCGGCAGACTGTGTCTGACGTTGACGTGGCAGGGCGAGCCACGTACTGTGCGCTCGCGTTACATGCTGTGACGGCAGTGCACACGCGGTCTGTGGAAGGCGTGGGTGGTGTCACTTCATACTCCACACCAACTGGCGCACAGGAGCGCGCGGGCGTGCACTTATCGCTGCAGCTGTGGCTTGCCTTGAAGAAACCGAGCGGACACGTCACGATGTGGTTGAGGTTGCGTAGGGAGGGGACCCCAACCAGCTGCACACCAGGTGGGCACGATGGCTGGGACGTGCATGTGATGTCGCCCGGCCAAATTGTGTATGTGCCTGGAGCGCATGGCTCGCACGTTGGGTTGTCATTTGCACCGCCACTACCACTGCCGTTGCTGTCTGTGATGGAGCCAATGTGGCGGTAACCGGGGGCGCACAGACAGAGGCGGTCTGATGATGGGGTTCCCTCTCGTCCAATCACGTGCATGCTTGGGTCGCACTGAGAAAACCTGGAGCACTCGAGTGCATTGTGTGTTTCTGAAAAGGTGCCTGCTGGACAAGCAATGCACACGCGATCTCTCGTCGCTGTGTGTGTGTATGTATGTGTGTGACGATGTGTGTGTGTGTGTGACGATGTGTGTGTGTGTGTGACGATGTGTGTGTGTGTGACGATGTGTGTGTGTGTGACAAGGTGTGGTGAGATGATGATGATGTGGCTTTGTTGAAGGGAATAGCCAACCCAATACGAAGCAACACGAGCATTGAACATTCAACATTGACTGCGTTCACATCACTGCACGTCAACAATCGACACTCCTGCGCTTACGTGTTGCTTGCAGAAAAACCTTGGTGCCGGGAGGGCAGTTTGTCAGCGGGAGGCAGATGCCCAACTTGTTATCGAACCACTCTGCCTCTGAGCATGGCCGTGCATGCGCAACGCTGGGGTCCTTGAGCTCTGCGACCGAGAAGGGCAAAGTCAGCAGAGGGCGTGAGCTGCGTGTGTGATTCACTCGGTGCCACAACACGCAAAAGGTTTTTCACACAGCGCCTACACATTGACGCACGTCTGTAGGCACACACGCGCTCGTACTCACCGCAACGGCAGTCGGGGCATGTCCAGGAAAAGTAGTGCAACTCCGGAGGTGGAAGGTCTGGCTCAAGGTCACAAAGCTGGGGAAGCGTGGCAATGCGACACAGCCCGAGAGAATCGACACACTGAAACCGCGGATCTTGACACAAGCAGTCGCCGTCATTGTCCAGAAACGCACCATGCGGGCACTTGCTTCTTGGGGAGGAATCTTCGCGTGGTAGTGCGTGTGTGGGGGGGGGGGGAGGATGGTTAAGTGGGTGTACATGCGTGTCCGCCATGTATGTGCACGTGTGAGTGAGGGTGTGTGAGTGAGTGGGTGTTGTGTGTGTGTGTGCACGTGTGAGTGAGTATGTGTGTGGGTGAGTGGGTGTACATGCGTGTCTGCCATGTGTGCGCACGTGTGAGTATGTGTGTGGGTGAGTGGGTGTACATGCGTGTCTGCCATGTGTGCGCATGTGTGTGTACGTGTGTTCGTTTGTCGGCTCAATCTCAATGTCTTGCTGAAGGCGGAGAGTTCAGGCGCAATGTGGAAGTGTTGTGGAAGCACAAGAACACGAGCGCAGTGCAGAAGAGCTGGCACGCGGAACAGCCTGCGCAGCAGACAGCCTGCGCGCATGGCTAGGTGTGATGCATGTGCAAGCGTGTAGGTGCACTTACTGCAAATGCAGTCCGGACACGATGTGGAGAAGAGGGAGAAGCGGCGGTGGTTGACGGTTTGCTGCGTGCACGCTGTTCCCTGGCACTCGAAGCCATTGTCACACACGCATCGGCCGTCAACGGCGATTGTGCCGTGCAAGCACTGCTCCAATGGCACGCTGGATCCCGCGGCATCTGCGTTGGTGTTGTCGTTGACAAATCAAGCGAGCAAGCAAGCAAGCAGCAAGGGAAGGGTGTTTGCACAAATGCCACACAGCAACGGCGGCAAAGACGAAAGTGAGACAACGAAAACACAAGTTCACATGGCGACTAACGTAAAGTGTGCATTGAGATGCCTGCAGGCAAGCACATCGTTCACGAGCGGGGGTAGCGGGAAGGGAAAGACAGACAGCATGCATGCATGAACACATCCACCAAAACGGCAGGCGTGGTGTTGCAACATAACCCCTCTTTTGAGGTAAAGGAGAGCGGTTGCTGCTCGTCGCTCGTCCACATGTGCGTGAACACAATTGATCTGTTTCCCACTTCAACCGATCTTGCCTGCAAGCACCCCACGCCAACACCTGATTGCTTGCACACGAGAGCAAGAGGACAAGCATACCGGTTTGATGATGATGTGCCGATGAGACCAGAAGCACAAGGAGGATGACGGAGGAGAAGATTGTTGGTGGAAGCCAGGTGCGGCGTTTGGAGGATGCTCCACGGCCAGATAGCCTCACGGCACACGGGCGCCAGCTGACAACTTTGAGCGTCATGTCTCTCACTCAGCACAACATGTATTGGTGGTGGTGGTGGTGGTGGCAGGTAGTGTGGTGGTGGTGGTGCGCTCAAGCACATGAAAGCGACGAAGGAGGAGAAGAAGAGGAAGGAAATAAATGGCGCGTGTTCTCTTCTCGCTCTTGCTCTCTTGCTGAGAGGAGAAAGATTGAGTGTCTTCCTGGCTGGCTTGCGCTCGTCAAAAGACCCACGATCGAGCAAGCGAAGAATGGAAGGAAAGGGGAGGCGAGGATTGTGAGCAACAAAACACACAAGAAGAAGGGAATAAAAGTGGGAAGACCTCGGGCAAGAAGGAAACACAAAGGAAGGAGAGTGACAAGAAGGCAGTCAGCGCAACCAACAACGAAAGAACGAAAGACACGGCTAGGCTAGGTCGACAACCAGAAGAGGGCGAAACGTTGCCCACGTCGACTTTGGACAGGGCAGACGAAGGGCCCATGCAGAAAAAAATTTATGCAATTAATTCACATGCATGAACGACAAACAACCATGCCTGTCACGGTTGTGTTGCAAAAGACAAACGGCGTGGAGTTGCAGGTCAGTGACGATGATGGCGATGAGGATGATGGCGATGGAGAGGGTGGAGCGCGGAGGAGAGCGGAGGAACGGAGGGAATGAGACACGGATAAGAGAATGAGACATGGAGAAGGAGACATGGCAAGCAAGTGAGTGGTATTGCTTGCAGGTGCGCTGGTGCAAACGTAGAGAGTGTGGACGGCTCATGCACCAGCCCATACACTCTCAAACGCACGCCATGTACTGTGTCCACGCATGTATGCCCTGCCTGCCTGGTGTAGGTGGATCCTGATGAGGATGAGTGGGTGAAGATTGGCAAGGGGGTCATCATCTTTGTGGCCTTTTTGAAAGATACCACTGCCGACCAGCTCCCAGCCATTGGTGGGTGTGTTTGTGTGGTTGTGTGGTTGTGCATGCGCTTGTGTGCGTGTGTGTGCGTGTGCGCTTGTGTGTGTGTGTGTGTGTGTGTGTGTGTGTGTGTGTGTGTGTGTGTGTGTTGTGTTGTCGTG